CAGCGACGCCGACTGCCTGTCCAGAGCCCCCGTCGAAACCCCTTCCGGCTGCAGCGACGACAATGACGACGAGTGCTTCCTAGGAGCAGTGAACACCGACGATATGGCACGACGTCAACGGGACGATCCTGAGCTGCGCGCATTAATCGAGCACCTGGAAGGGGGCAGGAGTACCGTGCCACGTGTCTTCTCACGAGTACTGCCGACCTTCGCCATCCGACAAGGTGTACTCTACAAAGAGAACTTCGGGAACAACAACTCGCCGTGGCTGCTGGTAATCCCGACCGACCTTCGAGGGGAGATCTTTCAAGCATGTCACGACGACCCGACGTCCGGACACCTTGGATACAGCCGGACACTGGCCCGTATTCGTGAAAAGTATTACTGGCCCAAGCTCCCCAAGACCGTCCACCTGTACACACGATCATGCCACGAGTGCCAGCGACGCAAGAAACCTCCGACGAGGCCGGCCGGACTCCTGCAGCCTATTTCTCCTCCAACTGCACCCTTCCAGCAGATCGGAATGGATCTACTTGGTCCTTTTCCGCCTTCGACGTCGGGAAACCGCTGGATCATCGTCGCCACAGATTATCTCACGCGGTACGCCGAAACGAAAGCTCTTCCTTCGGGGACTGCTGTGGAAGTTGCCAAGTTTTTCATTGAGTCCATCGTCCTCCGGCACGGCGCTCCAGAAGTTCTGATTACAGATCGCGGATCATCGTTCATGGCACAACTGACCCAAGAAATCTTCCGACTCAGTCACACCAGCCATCGTCGTACAACTGCGTACCACCCGCAGACCAACGGGCTGACGGAGCGACTCAACAAGACAATCGCCGATATGATCTCTATGTACGTCGACGTAGAGCACAAGACGTGGGACGAGGTGCTGCCCTACGTCACGTTCGCCTACAATACGGCGGTTCAAGAGACCACTGGATTCACCCCTTTCCAGCTGGTACATGGTCGGAAGGTAACGACCATGCTGGACGCCATGCTGCCCCATGAGCCATCTGACAACGAGAGCGACGACGCCCAGGCGGTTGCTCAACGCGCCGAAGAAGTTCGCCAGCTCGCCCGACTCCTGATTCAAGACCAGCAACGCGTCGACGCCGGCCGCTACAACCTTCTTCGCAGGGACGTCCACTTCCAGCCCGGAGATAGGGTGTGGGTATGGACGCCCATCCGTCGCCGCGGCCTCAGTGAGAAACTGCTGAAACGGTACTTTGGACCATACAAGGTACTTCGTCGCCTCGGCGAGCTGAACTACGAGGTGATGCCCGACGGAACACGAACATCGTCACGCCGCCCACCACGACCTGAGGTCGTCCACGTCGTGCGCCTGAAGCCGTACTACGCTCGATAGGACTGTGGACCTTTTGTGCTCCAAAAGACTCTTTAGTTTATCGTTCTTTTTTTATTTTGATTTGTTTTACACTGCATCGGGGCGATGCACTTTTAAAGGGGGGAGTAATGCCGCGCGCAAGGCTGAGAAAGCAACGCTCGGTCACGGTCCTCCAGAAAGTTCCCGTTTATTCATGTACCGCACGTTACTTCTATCATTTATCCCTGCTTTTGTTTTCTAGAAAGTGCGTGTTCATTCTCGCCCCGATCACGCGACGCTCGAACCGCTTTCGCCGAATCTTCGAGATAGCGGCGCACTCTAGATAAGAGGCCGCCCGCGACCTTGTCGAGTCAGTCTCGCCCTAGCGCTCGATTCTGCTGACACGCCGACTTCGACGCCCGCGACGCTCTGCTTTCTTCTGTTTCCTTCTTTATTTTCGGCACAAGTTCGCCACATTAAACGTTTATTTCTCCCTATTTTTTGGTCACCAACCGTGACAATATGAGACGCTGGTTCTAGCAAGCCGGCCCTGTTCTCGTAGCATCCCGTCAAATATGACGAGAAGGCGCGAGAGTTCCCACCTCGGCTGTCTCTTTCCCGGGCGTTGCTGCTCCCGGAAGAACGCATACTCGTGACGTAGGCAGCGTCGCGCTGCGCAAGAGTGTCACACCCGGTCAGCCAAACGCCTCGTTCGGCGGCAGAAATAGGTCCCGAACCTATAAGGCTCGCCGCGGCGTTTTCCGCCCAGCGTTTCGTCCCAGCGGCAAAGGCTGGGCGGATTCGCTAGCGGATCCGCAAGTGTAAACGTAGTATACGTACCATAAGAGCTGTGTTCTAAAACTAAATCATCGTTTTTTGAAACGACTACCTAACTTACAAAGTAATACTGCAGCCTACACAACGCGCCATGGTGAGCCTTGGAATGTTAGCGCTTATAGAACAATCTATGGGCAAGATACGTTGAAAAACAAACTACCAGGGTTACTAAATAGATTAGCTGCCGAACATGTCGAGCTTTCAGATATTACGTTTAAAGCGTTGTCATTTCAGCTCCCAGTCGACTTGTCTTATGTGAAAAATGTTGTGTAATATTATTCAACTTTGAGAGTTTTTGTGCATGTAGGTGGTCTTGTTTTTTCTTGATAATGCCTTCCAAGATATCCTACGAATGCGTGGTTGTGACGTAATTTGACTCTGTCCATTGTTGTTTATCTTTATTTTCTTTATTCTTTTAATGCTGTAAACTGTATGGTATGTTGATTATTTTCTTTTAGTGCTGCATAAATGCCAATGTGGGAAGCTGTGACTTTGTCAAGCTGGTCTTGTGACCGCTTCCTTCACTATAGCCTCCAGTATCCGGTACGCTGTACTTGACGCAAATAAAAAATAAACAACAAACAACAACAACTTACTCGGAGTCTAAAGGCCTGACCACACTAGCGGCAACGGCGCTGCCGGTCGGTGCCGCTGGGCGGCACCGCCGTCCGGCGTCCCAGCTCGAGGGGGCGCCATTGGCGCTCCTCCGCCGGATTTCTCTCTTACGACGTCTGCTCTTCGCTAGATTCTTCCATTTCGGCTCCCACCTTCCGCATAAACCAGCGTCGAAACTGCACTCGCTGCCTACATAGCGAGTGTCGATGATGATCTGGTGATCAGCGTGAATGTGATCATCCTATAGCCTGCTCGTTGATCTTGCTATGTCGCCGCTCTCTAAAGGCAATGAGACGCAGGTTCTGGTTCCGGCCGATTTGGCGTTACCGAATCACCGAGGGACAGGCCAGTGCTTTGCTGCCCCGGTTGCGCGCCTGAAAGGAAGGTTATTCTCGAGAATGAGTGATAGAATCGGTTGCGACAAGTGTCCAACATTAACGTTGCACAGTTTCGAAGCCAGCGGCGTAGAATTGGGGGTGCTGAGCGTTACCTTTTCGCCAGAACTGGACATTGAAGCTAACGAAAGAATGCCATGGGATTCTATTTCCCATATATCTTGTCAATAAAGGCAATGTGGGCGTTATTTTGTTTAGATGCCACTACTAGAAGGTCGTTACATAGCACGTAAACAGCGTCTCAGTAAGCATCATGGCCCGGGCCCGGGGAGGGGGGGGGGGGGGGTGCTCTGCCCCCCTCCCCGGATCTCACCAGGGGGGGGGGGGGGGGGGGCACGAACCCGGATGCCTCCCCGAAGTCTACGCCTATGTTCGAAGCACCGCTCCGTTGGGAAAGGCGCATTGGGGGAAATGGGGGGCAGCAAACCAAATCAAGCTACGCTCCTTTGCAACGTGAAAGACGCACGGCGAATAGGAGCCTGCGCGTTGTGTGTGTGTCCGAACGTCACTATCTACGCCACCTCCCATTGGCTCCTTCCTTCTGCGGCAAGAAACGGCGAGCCCTCAACCGCGCGCGGTCCGGTTTGTTGTTGTTCGGACGGCGCTGGCCGGCAAGCCGCTGAGGGCGAAAACTGGTTTTGGACGGCAGCCCGCGGCAGCCGACGGCGCGCAGCAAGTTTCCGGGACGCTAGCGTGGCCGAGCCTTAACAAGAATTAAAGTTTTTTGTTTCTTCTAGGAACCCATACCTGATATAGCCGAGACAGCTTGCCATCTAAATGTCTTCTTATCTCGTTTATTAATCCATTCATGTCTTTGAGATTAGGCTCCAAGGTGCACATGAAACCGATCATATTAGTGAACAAAAAACAAGTCGCAGGTGTTTTATGTGCATTTTGACAAGTAATAATGTCAATTAATGAGACAGATCCATCGCGAACCTCAAAACCTTATAGTTGGATGAGCTGCGCGAGTTTATCAAACTATATTTTTGTTATAAATTTAGAAATAAAACCGAGATGTGTACACACAAGGAACGGGAAATAATTGGTACGGCCCCAATCAACCTGTGCATATGCCTCCACGTATCTTTAAAGGTTACCGCCGTGCTTTATTAACGTGCAGACAGTTAATTGTCAGTTCGGTCCCGGCAAAGGCCAAGCAAAGGATTCGCCAGAACGATGCGACTGATGGTAAATTGGGTCAGTCGAATAATATCCTGACCATATAACAGAAAAGCGCGTATGTGTCACCTGGTCATCGTCACCCGACTTTGAACCATCGACTGCTACATTTAGATAATATAGTAAGGGTGCAGGCCAGCTGGTGAATGTTAACCACGTTGAATAAACCTAAGACTGGGGCAGAAATAAACATATCAGTTGAAGGAACAGAAAAGGACAGAACGACGTCGTCCTGTCCTTTTTTGTTTCTTCGACTTATATGCTCATTTCTGCCCCAGTCTCAGGTTTATTCAACATGCTACATTTAGGTGGGCCTCTCACTCATGAGCGGTGCTCTTTAACTTTTCTTTTATCGGCGTGCTTCCACAGTATGGGCGAGCAGGCCACCACTCGATTTCTCCTTGTGCCGTGATAAACTGGTTTTACCGTTAACCCGTTCGTGTTTGTTTCTCCACCCCGCAACTTCAAAGAAAAATAATAAAAATAGGTGAACACGTTGACAGCGTCAAAGCCATACCAATAAGATACTGATCACGCAAACCTCTGGTGATTTCTATAAGCAGAAGTGTACAGTGTACGTGAATTCTCTAGAGTCTAGAATACTTGCGTTGCACCAAAGTTCACGCGTCACTGAAAAGCGCAATCGATATGAGCACAGATTAATTGGAGGACAAAATCTAACCACTACCCACCTCAAGTTCGAAGGAATTTGTTACCACTTCTCTAGAATATTCTGACGAGTTTTAAGAGGGCCACATACCACCTATCATGCTTCCGCACCAGAGGATGAAACAGTATGCTCCTTTATATCGGCAATTCCATCCGGTCCAGCACTTTCTGGACCATGGTCTGAATGAAAACTTCCAGAAATCTATAGAGGGTTTGCCGGTTCGTGTCTGACCAGCCGCGGATCAGTTCGATGATCATGTTGGCGTTCACCAGGCCTGACCAGGGGCCAGTAATGTCGGCGCGCAGGTCTTCCAGCTCAACGATCCGCAGCGATTCTAGCACGATCCCCGAGCCCTTCTCGGCGGGCAGAAGGGACACCACGTCGATTTCGAATCTGCCGATCTCGATGTCCGCGTGGCCCCGGAGGATCGTCCCGTGGGCGACCTTCCAGTCGAACACCAGGTGAGCGTCTTTCACACCCAGGTTGAGCCGACACTCCATGAAGCTATCGTTGCAAGTGAGCTTGGAGCCCTCCCGGAAGTACGCCTTTTGCAGCCCGTGCAGGTAACCGTTGCTAACGGTCAGATGGGGTATTCCCATGAGCTGGCTGTCCAGTGGGTAAGGCTTGCTGAGGAAGGCCTGATTTTGGTGCACGAGGGAATTCAATAAGGGACCCAGGCCCGCACCAACGCCGCAGAAGGCCATGACTGGGCGTGGGGGCTTCTTTGCGGATGGACCTTCTTTCTCCACAGTGGCTAAGGAAAAGACAGACGGTAATTAAAAGAAAATCGCCTGACTCAGACATTTCGTTAAATGCAGTGAAGCTTTGTAACAAGCCGCAGACTGTCGGAATTTAGCGAAAATAATTCACCGCTAAACTTAGCGGACAAATTGTGACGCCATGACGTGACATCTGTCAACCATTACGTCACGCGACATGACGACATCATGTGACGCTGACGTATGAGACAACACGACATCACGTGACATTAACATTATGCGGGTCAGGCAAATACGAGCAAGAAACGAAATGAAGCACCCTTAAACAATGCTGCTTTTGGCCAATAAGCGTAGCGCATATCGAACAACATTATAGAGATGAAAAGAATGTGTTCGGTCTGACTTTCCTTATTTTGATCCTCGATACCTATATTGTTCCGGAAAACACGAACTCGTTTTGCTTTCCCGCAGCAGCTACATGATAAATAATTATGCTGAGCGTTGTGATGCTGTCCGTCAGGGTTGACCAATTGACGTAGACGTACATAGAGTTTTGATGTCTTGCATAATATTTTTAATGATATGTCATGACCGAGCAATAGCAAAATATATATTAAAAAAAAACAAAAAAAAAAACGAAGCACTAGCAGCCACATTCCAGCCTCTCACCTTGTCCTGATTAACACCCAAAAGCAGGATTTAAGATAGTCACCGATAATTTTTTCCCTTGGATTCAAGTGATGTTACATGAATGCTTCATTGTAACACCCACCCTTTGCCATAATGCCTCATGGCGATGCAAGTTTCTTTGTCAATAAATATTAGTAATAATAATAAACAAATCAATCGCGGTAGTTCGGCTTTCGTTCAATGCACGCCTACGGCGCCGCGAAGTCAACCTGGGCCTAGGCTACGAAGTCAGTGCTTTGGATTTGCGCCATAATGGCCACATATTTTCCTTGTTTGTTTATGAACACTTGCGCAAGGTTATTCCTCATCACACGCACCTCAGCAAAATGAGCCTCTCTTGTGATTTCGATGAGTAAGAGACAGAAATTAAAGAAATAATATTAATTTCGTGGGAGGTTGTAAAATTTTATCAAACATAGATTCTGGGTTGTCACGCACCCCCCCCCCCCCCCCCCCCCCCCCTTTCTCTTAAAAACAAACAAAAGCAAACTGAGAAAGCGCAAAACTGAATGAAATAGCTATGGTCTCGGTCTGTTCTATTCATGGTATTAAAAACATTGCGCATTTGTCCTCTATATTTAGCAGTGTAACAAACTAATGTACAGAAACACGAAATTTTCGGCTGGGAAGTAGGCTCGAGAAAACTTGCGAGTGGCCTCACCTGTTTTCAAAAGAGATGATTTTGCAGCCACCACATATATGGTAAAGATAAATACCCCAAAGCAACTACGAAGTGGATTATGCATTTGTGCGTCTGATGCAGGGCCTCACTTTTCTGTGACGAGGAGTCGGTCCCCGTGCGCGCATTCCGTGTGTCCATTAGGATCCGTCACGGCGTATATGACTGATGGCTACCACTTAGTCTACTTGGACCAGATTTCTGAGAGCAGCTGTGTCAACAAGCAACCAGGAACCCCGAGAGGAAAAGTACCTCTGTAGCGAATGTATGCTTTTCTTTTAATTTATTTATTTTTTATTGAGGACTTGTTTTATTTTTTGCGTGTCCTTCCTGAAGGTGTCAATTCCTCCCTTGTCCGGTTTCGGAAAAAGGCGATAAAAATGTGAGAACTGATAGATGAATACAATCACAGAACCCGCTGCCCATTCCCAAATTGTTTAAATTAGTTCAGCCTCTTATAATGACTGCCTTTAAAGCTGACTAAATGATTCTATAATCACATTTAAATAAAAAAGTTAATGAACAAATTTTTTTGTGAATCACTAAATAATACCCCTACCCAGTGGCGTCACTAGGGTCAGCGGCACCCGAAGCAATAAGCTGCCGCCCACCCCCCTTTTGTGACGCCACTGCCCATATACCCAATGTTTATTGAGCTCAATGAGCACACAATGAAGATAGTACCTAAAAATAAATGATCCCCATTAAAAAAACAAAAAAAACAGTTCAATCTAGAATTTTAATTTTTGTATAATTTTATAGATGCAGAATGACACCCAATACAGAGGGAATTTTCATAGAGAAGAGACATCATACTGTACACCCTGATGGCACCTGTAAAAACAAATAAGGTCCTCTGCTACGAGGAAAGATATCATTTTTTTGGTGGGCAAGCATTCAGCTTCTCTTGAAAAGGCTCCAGGTCCCCTGAAAAAGAACAGAAATAATGTGAGCATTTTGATGAATCCATGAGGGTTGCCATAAAACGTAGCAAGCTCGATGCACTCAACTCTTCAAGTCAGCCTTGACTTCTGCCAAAGTTGATCTGAAGAATAAGTTGCTGTTTGGTTGCTGCTTGTAAACTGCCTGCAAAAGAGGGAGAAAGCCGCTTTATGTTTTTGACGCCTGGTGAGCACAAGCTCGTAAGACTCAACAGGAACCTAAACACTTACAGCATCTTGCCTCAAAGAGCCGAGTTCATGCTCCAACACTTTAAGTTCCTGCAACTGAAACAAAGTTACAAAGGATTTGAGCAATGTTACACAGCTAGCACTACACCCTTATTAATGAATAAACAAGTGAGAGCCCTGTCTTGGTGTTGTATTGTATTGTGAACCAGAAATAGAACTGCACAGAGTAAACGGAACCAGAGCTTGCAGTAGTTTAGCAATATCAGCCACTGCCACGGGTCACGCCTGGATGGGTTGAGGCATTTCGTAGATGTTGTCATGCGACACAGTCTGATGAAGCATGAGCCCTAGGACGCCACCTCGACTGGTCATCGAGGTGCACGTGCTGCGTTCCTGCTCGTACAACTCATCCAGCCTGAGCCACTGCCGCACTATCTCCATGTCGATCTCTGCCCTGCGGAACTTGTCCCAGCAATAGTGCTTGGAACACCTCTTCTTCGGCAGGTTGCAGAAGTCTCCCGAGTGGTCGAAGACATTGGAGACGAGTGGAAAGCCGCAGACCTCGTCGTCGTTCACTTTGGGCTCCTTGGAGTGCTCGGGGCAGAGGATGCGCAGACGTTTGCAGTAGGTCTTCTGGTGTGGGTTGTAAAAGTCACAGAACACATTGTCGCCCTCGATGCGCGTCTTGTAGATGGACCCGTACGAGCTCTGGCTCTCATACTTGTTGAAGCACTTCTCCATGTGGCGCATGGCAGACCGTGCACTGACCTCGTGCCCGCACGTGACACAATAGGTGCTCAGCTCGCTCTCTTCGTAGTCATCCGCTGTCTCTTCGTCTTCGATGAGCGGTGTCTGCTTGGCTCGCTCGATGAGCGCCTCGAGCTGGGTTCGCCTGGCCTCGAGAAGTTGAAGAGTGTTACGTGCGTCGAGCTGCTGTTTTCGTATCTGCTCGAGCTGCCTGCGACTCGTCTCATCCGCGTGGCACGAACTCGATTGCCACTGCTGAATGCGGTGCGGCACTAGTTCATAGATACGGTTAGTGGCCAGCTTGAGGCCACAGTCATCGCTGCAGTACTTGGATCCCGAGCGAGCGGCAGCCGTGCAGCCCGGGCCGTAACACTGCCTCGGAATGTCGTCGTCCTTGCGACTTTTTTCTTTCTCGCCTCGGTGTTCCCGCTTGTGTTCTTCTTTGCGCGCGCGCTTCGATTGGGTTTTGAGCTCGCCGCCTTTGGTTGGACTGCGCTTGTGGCGTGGTTTCTTCGGTAAGCGCTGGAACAGCTCAGGCTCGTAGTCGTCGTCTACGTAGTCATTTGGCAGGTCCGAAGCATCGTTGGCGAAGTCCGGGTCCGGGTCGTAGTCGTCGTCGTCGTAGAGAGACTTGGAGCGTTTCGGGGACATGATGGGCTTCTTGCCCAGAATGAGGCCGAAGTTGAGGCACTGTCTTTTACGGCACTTTTGGCGGATCTTGTTTGGACCGCCGAACTTGCGCATGTCCTTGCAGAAATCGCAGCGGCCGCAGTCTTCGGTCATGTAACAGGCGGTACACTCACCGCACTGCCGCGTCGACTTGCGGCGCTTATTTTTCTTGGACCGATGCGACTTGTCCTTGTGCCTCGTCGGGGAGTAGCAGTAGTCGTCGTCCCTGCTCTTGCTGCGATTCTTGTGCTCGCTGTGAGAGTGCGACTTCTCCTTGCGCTCCTTAAACTTGATTTCGAGTGATGGATCGCGGTCCCGACATATGAGGCAGAAGAACTTGAGGATGTTCTTGGCGTACGACTCGGTAATGCTGATGCAGTCGCCATGGTACCACTCGTTGCAGTTGTCGCAGCCAATCATAAAGCGGCTCGTGTCGTTGGTTCGACAGATGCAGTAAACCAACTCGTCTTCTTCGGAGTTGTGCGCTGCGCCTGGATCTTCCTCGCCAGTGTCGGTCTCGCTGTCGGAACGCACCGTTGGCGGCGGCTTTAGTTCGTCTATGTCTGGCTGGGAGGACGGCGGCGCCTTGCAGTAACTGTGCATGTCCTGGCCGCAGTGAAGCGTCGTTTCGATGTCACCGGCACTGTAGTCGGTGCCATCGCTGCTCAAGCTTTGGTAAATGGTTTCAGTTTGAACACTACACATTTTGAACGAGTCACAGGCGTCAACGCGAGGATATAAATCAGGCTCGCGATACCGCTTTACGAAGTGGCAGCATCCGCATTTAAAGCAAACGAGTACAAGACGCTGTATTTCAGAAGAAACGGAAAAGAAACGGTGCTTACGCGTCTGCCGTCGCAAGATGTTGTGCTTCGAGCAGCCATTTTGACTGAGAGAAAACTGAGAAAACAGATGCACACACACTGAATAAATAAATTACATAACATATCGAAATAGGCGGTTATACGCGCCCTCTAGCTAATGTTTTAAAATAAATACTTTATAGGTGCTTTATTCTTCTACGTCTGAACCGCCTAACTTCTTGTATATATATATATAAAAAAAGGTGTGATCATTTATTTTTTAGTTTCCTCTTTGTTTTGATATTTAACACAGCCGCGTTAAGAAAGCCCAGAACCAGAAAGCTTACGAATCCAATCCGATCCAAAGGCGACACATGTGGTGCCAATCGTGGCGATCGCGAAACTTCTGGGACCTCGAGCGGTGTGTTGCGTTTATTATGACGCCTTAAAATATATTTACTTTTTATGACAATGGGCACCCCTAGCTATGGGCACTTCTGCGCACTATTGAAATGCATAAAAATTTCGTTATCAAAGCTGATCACGCGCTTCAACTACACTGCCGAGCCGATCGTTCACTCGTTGGCTTGTGTGTAGAAGAGCCATTAATGTTTATTCATATATCTTTAGTTACTGGTTACCTGCATGTGGTGAGTCCGTTTCACTTTAAGCGCGAGCTTTGTCAAAGCTATAGTTTCACGAGCACCTTGAGCGCCGATGAGAGCTGTGGACGCGCACTTTTCACTACTACTGAAATGCCACAAAACGTTGTCCACAAGGATGCGAGAGCGACTCCGGGCTTTGAGCGTTTCTGTCAAGCACGCGCGCTCGTCCAGTGCAAGCATCGTTCAACACAACATGCTTCGACTTCGCTTGCCCATGAAGTGAAACTATAGTTGCACTCTTACACCACCTCCAAGCGTGTTTCTTTCTTTTCAGTGTTTCTTTTTCAAACAAGGATGACGACGCCGTTCGCGAGATTCATCCTGAGCGAAACTGGACGGCAGACCTGCGGATTCCTGGGTCTAACGGCTAGCTTCGCCGCGTTTCTCGGCTCATCACTTCCCCATACATACCTTCTGTACAAGTACAAGGAAATTGTACAGTTTTACGAGTAAGTTTATACTTGTGATGAAATCTCCTTTGACATCTTTCAAACAGTGAAGGTTAGAAGCTCGCAGTTCACAGGTTTGACGTTTCTTTTGTCACATTTCCTTTTTTTAGGGATGCCGTGCCGATTGATTTGAACCCAGAGGTTGCAGACAGAGCAAACAAAGTAAGATAATATTTACCCTTCCAGTTTCTGTATTTTTCGATAGAACGCATAGCTTCCAAAATGCTTTGTTGACCCCGGCATCGTGCCACTTTTCTTGCCACTCCAGTGACAAATTAAATTCTAATCGGCAATATTTCCACATGTCGCTTAGATCGCCATATTGCTGTTCATGCTGAAAATTGTCCTTTTCATCACATATACATAGTTTGCAGGCCTCGCCATAGCTGGGTACTGACGGTTATTTCTACTCACTGGTTTCTAGTCATGGGCCGAATCTGCCGAACTTCAGATTCGGCAAAGTTCGGCATATGTTGAACTTTTGAAGGAAAGTTTGGCAAAGATTCGGCAAAAATTCGGCAAATGTCTGCACACGTGCGAAAACGCTACGGGGCCATGGATTGCAAATGGACGCCGTGCGGTCATGTAATTACCATTGTAAAGTGTAGAACAACCAGCGGTTATGGCGAGGTATGAGAATAGGCAACACGGTAACTTTGTTTGTGAGCTTTTGCAAGTGTTGTTCTTTTCAATATTTTCTGCCTCAAGTACAGAAGATCGACCAGTAATTTACGCAGCTCACTGCACAAGTGACAGATGATGCGGTACATTCTGGATGACGCATGTTTCATTTGACCTTTTTAGTGATGCAACGAGGTAGTTGAAGCATTGACTCACAATTACTTCAAAGCACTCCTTGCAATTATAACAATCTTGTTTTCAGCTCACGAGAAGTTTGTGCCAAAACAAAATAATATTGCTTTTTAATTAGCATTATTTCATGGTTTTCATGTATCTACATAAAACTTACCACAGAGCTATTGTGCTCGATGTTACACATCCGACATTCCTAACTCTTCCCATCTTCCTAAACGTCCGTGTGTGTCCTAACACCAGAAACCGGCATTTTAAAGGTTAAAAACGAGACGTTGCGAATATGGGACGCACACTTTCATGCAAAGCTGACGTCAAGTGACTCAAATCGAAAAACATGCATATTGACAATAATATTGTTATCTTTTCTGGTGAAGGCTCAGTTACCGTTGCATTCATTTTCGCACACGAAACGGTGACTCCCAGAGAAAGTAAAAACGTGGTGTTATTGCGTTTGTATCTACACCAGACACACTTGCAAGCTTGCGCTGATGAGGCCTCTAAACCGAAACTCTGGTAGCGTGATTTGACTGCGGCCGCTATTACCCAACTAACCTTGTAGTCGCACCACCTCTGCAAGCAGTCACTAAAATTGCCAGTAAACACAAAAACGACACCGATACAATTATCTTGTAGAATATAACCTTATTTAGTAATAACTGTGTCAATGTGCATTACATATCGCATTTAAGTTAAGAAAAATACAACAAAACTTTTTTTTCGCCAGAAAAAACAAAATATCAACGTAAGTGTGGTAACAATGTATCTTTGCCGAATCTTTAGAAAAGTTTGGCTTTGCCAAATCCCAAGATTCGGTAATAGTTTGGCCCATCACTACTGGTTTCTTTAAACTACAACATCTGTGGTGTGAAACCAACACGGCGAACCAAATGCTCGCGGCGCATAAAATACTGGCATAACCGCAAATGATGTTGCATGCAAGCTATGTATAGTGGAATCTTGCCCATATCTCAAATAGCCGCCTCGGTGGCTCCAAGGCGAGAGTGCTGGCCTACGGATCCCCATGTGGCGGGTTCGAATCCCGGCCGAGGTGCCCGCAATTTGACGGAGGCTTATTGCGGAGGAGGCGCCGTGTAACCAAGCTTACGGTTGCACGTCACAAGATCCCCAGGTGGTCCAAATTAATCCTCAGTCCTCCGCTGGGGCGTGCCAGATGCCCGTCATTGGTTTGGCACGTAAAACCCCCCCCCAAATTTGACTTTTGCCTGTATCTCAAATAGCCATCTCCTGGCATCAGAACAACTTATGCCCTGTACCGGCTGCCCGAAAAAGGTGCCTCTGAGAAGAACCTTTCTCATTGCTTGACAGGTTTTGGAAGCCACCACCCTCTCTCCAAGCCGCAAGGCGAACGTAAGGTTCTTCCCGGTCGCTATGCTGGACACCTTCTTTGCGGGAAGCACCGTTGCCATTTGTGGCGCCGAGATTGGCTTGCCCGTTACCTTCGGCTACAAAAAAGTGGAAGACATTAAGACTAGCAATCTGTCTATCCGCAACGTAATGCAGCCCATGTGGAACACCAGGGAGGCACAGCAACTCAAGGACTCTCTCATCCTCAGCGAGAAAGCTCAGAAGTTTGCCATAGCGCGCGAGATCTACTGGTGCAACACCTACTATGTCCACCTACACTCCCTTATGCTGTCTTTCTCGGTGGCCAACTGCTACGTCCTGAGCCGCCTGCTCAATGACCGCTTTCAGCTTTTGCAAAGAGTACCGCGGAAAGCGAGAGTGCTCATGTACGGTCTCGTGGCCGCATTCAATGCAACCGCCTACATCTGCGTCAAGGATGCATCCAGTCAGTACTGGGACAAGAAGGCGGACGAGAGTGCGGCTGCCCTCGGACGAGAGTATGCGGAAGGAGGCGTCGAGTATTACCAGAAGACACTGCAGAAGAACAGGGCGCTGCGAGAGCTGATGGGGAAGGCGGGCGAGAAGACATACACGTCCAAAGGAAACATCAACAGGATCTTCCGAACTGACCACCTCCCACTCACCTATAGGTTGGATTGCCTCATGAACCAAGTGAAGTTGTGGGGTAACGAAGAGACGAAAAACCAAGTACTTGCATAGCTGGACTCCTATTGTGTACAGTTAACATATAGAAGTGTGCGTTGTAGAATTAAAATAAATGTTAAATACAAAAATAGCCCTCACTGGGTGTGAAATACCCTGCGTGCAAGTGATCACCAGTGGTGTTGATGCTTAGAAGTGTGGCCGTATGAAGCGTTCCTATGTTTGTTTCTAGCTCAACAATCATAACTGCCTTCACTATCTTGATGAGTTGCAGTGTTACATAATTCCTATGTAGACAGATAGTTTTACATATCGGACGCTACCTGCATCAGTTTACCGGAATTCTCTAAACATTGGTAGGCATAAAACCTACCCTCTGAGACTGGACAAGTGGCAAATCTTTCTAAAAAGTTTTAAATCTGCCCGAAGGGAGCAACCTCCTAACATTTTGAACAAGTCTACCTTTAGAGAAAGTAAAATCTGCAAGTGAGGCCTTTCTAGGACCTTGTTTTATATGGTCAAAGCAATTACGAGATAAAAAGGCAAGTGCAATGATGAAACTGCTCTGCCAAGATTTGCCATGAACGCATGTCTGCTACATGCTGCACCAAAATGTCATTTTTGCCTAACACTGTGCCACGATTGTGATAGGATAAGCTTAAGCAAAAAATAATTTAATATTGGTTGAAAATAATACTGAAAGTAGAAGTGAAGAAAAATGGTAAAAACACGTATTTCAGAATATTTTTAGTCACCGTAGCTAAAATTCCCTCGTCTACCGTGCTGGCCACATCGTCGTTTGAACTTCCAGACGATTATGTCGGCAATGTCAAGGAGCTAAAATTTCAAGAAAATAAGAGTAAAATGATGGTATGGCAGTTACTGTGATAAGACAGAACCAGGGTCTGTATCAGACCCTTGTTCTGATACAGACCCTGATGAGATCACTAGATTTTCCAGTGTTGGGTAAAGTACTTAAAATACAAAGTAAATGATAGGTTATGTACTACTTCAAGTAAACTAGTAAGTACATTGGGCACAATGTACTTGAAATAAAGTACTCTAAATACAATGCACTTCCAAAGTAAAGTACAAGTCCTTTTTAACAATCTTTCAATTTGGTAATTGGGGATTTTCGTGAAGGGCGGCGAATATTGGATAAAGTCAGGTGGCCACAGAGTATAGTTGTTTTACTCTCGCTGACAAACTATTTTAACACAATCAACTTATAAGGCACTTATTGGTATCCGTCTTATAGCCGCCATTACTTCATTTAGAGAAATGACCAGATAAGCGATGCATCATCTGCTCGGGTTTCTGGTGAGAGTAGAATATCCCTCTCAGTATAGCTTCAGAGTTGACATAGCAACGTTTTAGCAATTCAGATTTAACAAGGTTAAATTTGGAGAATCTACTTTGAAGCTGGGAGCTGTACTTTTCTTGGAAAGTACCAGAAAAAAAAAAAGAAATACTTGAAGTGAAGTACAATTACACTCGGTACTTCCAAACACTGTGATTTTCATCTCGGCCACATGCCTCCAAGTTGTGGCACTGTCGCCGCTCGTGTCAACCTTCACCCCCTCACTGGCGCGCATGCGTCGAGCTTCAACGCGTGGCATCAGTGTGTTGGGAGAAGTGGCTTATGAGGGGGAACACCCATGGATTAGTGCAATGGGCCAGGAAATTATGCCGGTGTATTACGGGTCAAACTTTTTTGGTCTTGACTGTAGGTCGACCTCTAATTTAACAGAGTGGTGCGGAGAAAAGAAAAAGAAACAAAAAACTCTGAACTATTTGAATAAGTAGTTAAGGTAGCTCCCGTAAGGTAGCTTGTAATATTTGGGAGGGGTTGCTGTCTGATATTAGATACTTCAGTTTTGTATGTACATGAATCTTGGTGGAACATATTTTATTTATCGACATGATAGCAGATGTGCTAGTTTTATCAGGAATATTACATAAACGATATTGACAGGCGACACAAAGCTACTACCTTCCTATTCTACATGGCACATGCTAAACCAACATTAAAGGTCTCAAAGCAGTTCAGGCACATGGTTTTCGTGGCTGTATAGGCCTGCCAGCTTGTACATCAGCTGTGGGCACAGTTTCCGAGGCACGTGCCAGGCCTGTAGAAGTGCTATGATGCAGGAAACATTAAAAACTCATCTAAGACACGTTACCAAACATAGACGTCACTTACTTGCACACCTTACTACCAAACGCTCAACTTGGAGTATTCTAAGGCATTGTTAAAATGAAGTAATGCATCCCTGTTCAACATGCAGATTTCCCCATGGACTCTCCCTTTCTTCGTTGTAGCACTTGAAATTGACAGCATTCGAAAGAAACCAAACATTAGCCTATATTTATGTGTCGAAAACTCGCATATATACAGACAAACCTTGTGTCGAAAATTGTTCCACTGCATTGAGATTCCATCATACGTCACAACGGAAAACGTCAAGCGGTCACAAGACATCCTCGACAGCGACCAAACAAGTAGGACTTCAAGAAGCTCTTAAATTTATATTGGCAAAGCCGGCTCAAACTAGGACAGTGTTTTCAGACACTAAACCGGCACTTTAAACTATATCCAGCATGTATACATACAACCAAGTGAAAATAAACAAAGTGTTCCTACACTTTTATGAGGTTTTCAGAAATAAGAGAAACTTCGTTGAGTTTCAATGGATTCCTGGACTCTGCAAGATAGCTGGAAATTAGGCAGCAGATGGTGCTGCGACTTCAACTAATCCCATTTTCCCCCAATGTGGAAACACCCTAGACTAGAGGCAACGTTACTTAGCTCATAAATATCTATGTCCAAACTGCAACAAAGCGTCTCTGAAAGAGTGCTGCACGCCATTACTCTCCTTTATATTTTTTGGATCCAGATCTCACCTAACGTGTCACGTAACCTACTCAAGCGAATTGAAGCTCACTGATTACGCCTGGGTATTTAATAAAACTCGCAAGAATTCCTGCACCGCATTCGGGAGATACAGAATCCGAAGTGCCCAGAGTGTGATTGTGTATAAACTGTACCCCATATAGTATGTGAATGTACTTTTTACGATGCAGAAAAGAAACTTCTAAAGAACACCCTGTCACATCTAGACGAGACGACCGACCATTGGCAATGTCTAAAATACTAGGGGCCTGGGACTCTCCACAAAGTGAAAACCGCAAACGCTCTCCTCCATCTTTTATCCGTAACTCGCCTGCAGTTGTTTGTAAAAAGAGTTATATTAGACACTATCTGTGTTTGCATACAGGACTAATAGTTCTATAATTTCGCCAAGGGTACAATGCTCAGTTGAACTTCACACTTTGGACAAACATTTGTGCCATGCAAAAAAGAAAAGAAAAAGTTCTTTTTATGCTCGTGTCCCACTAGAGCGACAGACAAACAAACGACAGCGACAAGCTACAAACCAGAGTCTTTCGCGATTTGAGAGGCTTTGTAGAATAAAGGAGGCTATGCTCAAACACGAGCATCATGCACGCAATGGTATCTTTGGCAGGCAATCGCTCGTGCTTACTTCACGAGCACCGAACGACTAAATGCCTGCCAAAGGTACCATTGTGAGCATGCTGCATGGGTTTGAGGCTTGTCGCTGTCTTTTGTTTCTGTCTGTCGCTCTGGTGGGACACGGGCATTAAACAGTCAGGTTGAGACACGAGCGTCAAAAACTAAATTTTACAAAAAAAAAAAAAAATCTTTTTTAAAGCGATATTGTCGGCGATAGATTTATTTAAAATGTATATTGCCGTGTGCGTGGCCGAATGGTTACTGTGCTTGGCTGTCATGCAGAGGATCCAGGTTCGATTGCAGTGTGTGGAATGTTCTTTTATCTATTCTTTCAGCTTGGCGTAAGTTCGAGAACCTTCTCGTCTCATCCGGTTACGAATGTTCTACGCGCGAAATGTTCCTGAAATCCACGTGTCTACAAAAGGTGCTCCGCGTGGCAAGCCAGAGTCAGTCTCGGCCCAGAGCTCGATTCTGCTGTTTCGCCAACATTGACGCCTGCAATGCTAGCCTTTCTCTGTTTTGTTTTGGGCACAAGTTGGCCCACTAAACGTTTAGTTTCTTTAGTTATTTGCCACCTCATCATTCGTCGTTCGTAACAATATTGTATTTGTATTACAATGGCTGCAAGATGGTCCGTTAATCATCCCACATCTAGGATATGGAAGAGACCTTTCCCCAAAATACTACATAGCACCATGTGATCCTTACCTTATACTCCATTTCGCAAACATCTGCAGTGAAGACAAAAGCCTGGGCATCAGTGCGTGGCTTTAGAAAGAGCCTCTTAAGCACAAGTGCTTGCACAAACAAAAGCGTGCTGCTGAGCTAGGCTTGCATGCCCTATACCTGTCTTCATTGCATGTATTTGAGAGGTTATAGTATGCTGAGGTCAGCTTGGGCACTATCCATGCCATAGGTGGAAGTGTTTCAGTCAGTCCTCTCTTATCATTGAGAGTTCAGGACACAAATTCCAAGTCGACACGGACCTTTTTACAATCGCCCCCCTTTTGCCTTTTGAACCCACCAAAGTGTTAAGCCATTATGCATTTCTTTCACAAGTACTATTCCAAATGCAGTAATCGCCCATAGCGCATCAGAAGACTGCGAGACTGCCACATATTTCCGGAATGGTCTATTGGATGGCAAGCTAGCACGACTACCGAAAAAGCATTCCTGGCAGGACGACCCAACCTAAACTGTCATGAAATAGGGAAAAGCAGTGCCGTGTTCCCAGGAACTGGAGTATCTACCTGCAGAAGAGATCCCAATTTCCTTGATTGTTTCTACCACGAAGAAAAGTGACTCGACTGTTTACGAATTTCGAATAGCTGAGCCAAGCATCAGTGTTCACTCGCAGTTTTTCAGGCACCCGTTTTTGTCTTTTTTTCTCTTAGGATCAAAGAGCTGTCATCGAGGCTACTGGTGTGTTGCCAAGTGCTAATTTGGGGCACTAACTCTAGTGATAAAATTTGATGCCCAGCAATACCTTCTCACAGTAATGTGGGAAAATGCAAAAATGTTGTGTTCGTGCTAACAGTGTTGTGCACTGTACATAGCTGTAAAATTTTCTTGCTGCTCCTTGTGCATCGGTCCCATTCATAATCCACTTCACAGAAACATGCTTTGCATGCCAATGTCATTGCAGTACGGTACACATTAAAACACTCGCATTTCATTCAACTTTTTTAATTGCATTTGCTTCTGTCCAAACACAGTATCTCTTTATATCTGTCAGGAGCAGACATTTCTCTTAAACAGTCAGACACATTGAAAGCAGGCAAAGTTCATTCAAAAACATAGTAGAGGATATTGTACAACAGTGTCCCCCGCAAAAATCTGGCACGCACAGGTAGATAGATACATTTGCACAGGGCTTTAGGTTAGACACACCAATGGCAAGAGCCAGCTGTACACCGTTCCCATCCAAAAGAAACTTTGGATGCACATTTTTAAAAACTTTTGGCTTGAAGCGGCATTCACCAGTCCACATTCCTCTGAACAGCCTCGGTATCCAGCCTACAGGGCACTGGTGTACGCTAAGTACAAAAGGGGGAGGACCTTGGCAGTGGGACAGATATGTGGCTGTGGATATGTCCAAACCAAGGAGAAATGCTTTGCACTAACAGCAATGGCAGTCTATAGTACTTCAAGGATCATCCTTGCAAGACACTTAAATTTTGTATACTTTGTTAACTTCATTTGAGATGCTTCGCAGATTGACGACACGCTCTGCAGCTCCTGGGAAGGACACTCTGCGTTCTGCAAGTTCAAAATGTGGGCTTCACTAAAACGTTCTCTGCCTCTGCTTGTTTTCAAACTCCCCGACACATTTGATGGTTGAAACCGATAGCTTCTATACAGCTTCGTTCCAACTCTGTTCTGGCAACGCCCATTCTTTCCCTTTACGTTGGCTTCATAATTTGTGTGCCAGGCAACGACACAAAGTATCATTCTGCACTGTGCCTGCTCGTACACGAGCACACTCTACGCCACCGCACGACACAGCACAAAAACCGCCAAATATGCCATGCCAGATGGAGAAGGAAATTTTTTTTGTAAGAAGGTCGGCATTCTCGCTATCACATGACGCATGCCAAACACACCGGTACACAGCTTATCTACAACGACAAACTCCACCTTTATGTACAAAAAGTTCTAGAAAGAACCAACCAACCTCGGGAAGGTCAAGAGGGGGCGGGGATGGGCGCACTATAAAAATACACCGGCACAGTTTTTTTTTTTTTTTTTTGAGGGGTGTTCAAAGTATAAACTTGGCAGAGAAGCTCGCACAACACGCCAGTCTCCACGAAAACATGAACACGCCACTTGCCTAGCCAACGTATGCGCAACACTGCTGCTTCCATTCCGGAGGTGCGAGGCATTTTCCACAACTCTTCGTGACGAAAGGCGGTGCAGTGAATGGCCTCCCTTCCAGGGGGGGGGGCTAGTGTGCCGCGATGAAGGAGAGCGATATTCTCCAACAATGTTTGCGCCTGAAGTCGGGATATCATACTTTTTTCTCTTGTTTCTTTTTTCCAGTCGAACAAGCTTCATACTTGTGTAAGTAAGGTGCAGGTGGTTTCAAATGGGCCGAGCGAGGAGAGGGTTATGCCGTCGGTAACACACGGGAACACGGTAAAGAGGAAAAGGAGAGCACGAAGCACAGTTCTCGCTTTTGGCTGCAGGCTCGATCTGATGTGGGCTTCCCTCAGACTGTGGTTGTTAGACATCTGCAACAGAAAAAGAACAGGACAGATACCCACATGTCAGCTTGCCTTATAATTAACTACCATTACAGTAGACTCATTATTCCAAACTCTAGGGAGCCACAAATTTTGTTTTAATTATCAGAAATTAATCTAAATATGATGAAAGACAAAATTGTGATTTGCCATATGAATGGCTACACATACAAAGCAGATATTTGATAATTTCCTCTACATAGGCCTGCTGATCATAAGCGGGTATGTCACACATGAAACAGTGAAATGTCTGACAAGTTTATTTATCCCTCAAAAAAGTTGTTTATCGTGGACTGTTTAGACAGCATGTGACAACTCTCAACAAGATTAAGTTTGTTCATCAGGCCAAGAAGTTGTCTAATGTTGACTATTCAGCAGGGTACATGAGACATAAAAATGGGCACTGCATGACAGTTTTCATAACAACTCGCGTGGATGCTGCGACATGCAGAGGTTGGCATTTTAGCCCACCCTCACAACCACACTTGCCTCAGACCCTCACAGTTATTCACCCTCAGCCCCTCACTCACCCTCACAGTCACAATCACGTTCAGCCCTTCACTCACCCTCACACTTATGATTTTTCGGGGTTCAGAAACTCACTCACCCTCACCTCACCTGTGAAAATGAGGGTGAGCAAGGGTAAGTGAGGACACTCATGGGTGAGGTTTGCCGAGGTATGCTGCCAACCAGCAAAACGCCGCCCGTTCAGCGGTGCCTTGCTGTCTGAATCGGCAAGCTTCCTCCCTCCCTCCCGACCATTCCGACCCAGCTCCTTTTATCTCACAAACGTAACGAAGAAAACGGCCAACCTAACGCTAGTTGCACAAACCACACTATCAAATAGCGCCAAGCAGTGAGCCTTAGCTCACACTAACTCCTCCTTTCTCATTTGTTACCCAATAATCAAACTGCACCATGCATCTGCGCAGCGAAATTGTTGCGAGGCGAGCGTCGACCCCATTTCCCGGGAGATGCCGTGAGAGGTCACAACACCCACTGCGACCCATCACAAAGTTTCTACGCCTTCAAGCATAATCGAGAGAACCCATCGTCTTGCACAAGCCTCGCACGCAAACGCAAGTGCTTCATCTTCACACACTCACTAGCCTCACACCCTCCACGCACCCATACCCCTGACGATCCTCACACCCTCCACACACCCATACCCCTCACAGTCCTCACACCCCTCATGCACTCATGCCCCTCACACTCTCACCGCCCTCACGCACCCACGATCCTCAACAGCCCTCACGCCCTCACAATCCTCACTCACTTTCCCACTCATGAACTTTCCTGGCTCAGAAACTCACTCACCCTCACCGCACCTGTGAAGATGAGGGTGAATGAGGGTGAGTGAGGGTCTTTATGAGTGAGGTTTGCCGAGGTATGGTGATGTGTACCTATGCCATGCTGTCACGTCATAGTGTTCGCGCAAGTTGCTACAAAAATTTTTTGGTGTCCGTTTTCATAGCTCATGTGTGCACGCTTGCGCTCTGTCGAATGCACTCATCATCTAGCACCGGTGCACTGCGGAGAAGCAATACCCACAAAAGCAAGCTCCGCGGGTGCTGCCCTTCAAAAGTGCACAGGTGCTCGGAAAGAAGCGCACTCAATGGGGGCCACGAAAACAAAATGTATGAATTACACGAAAACAATGTTCGAATTAAATGGTTCTAAATATATTAAAACAATGGGAAAACCAAAATTTTGAAATTTGTCCGATTTAGACGAAAGACTGAAATATCCTTATTTGAATTATTGCGAGCCTACTGTAATCACTCTGTGACCGTATTTTCCAGGCACTGACTTCGTCTTATGACGAAATGTTTGTAATTATGTCAAGTCATTTATCTGACTAACCAACCTTTGTGAAAATTGTTTAGGGAAATGTATGGGTTCTTTTAAACCAAACAAAGTTACCGAAGGCCTGCTAAAGAAACCTTTTTTTTATAGGTCGAAAATTAAACTTGTGTAGATTTGCAAAGGCATCGAAACATCATTAACCACCAGTGCTGTGAATTTTGTATGAAACTACTATTATGTCAACGTAAATATGAAATTCTTTCAAGAAAAAAAAAAAAAAGGCCAATTCATGCTTTTGGGTTATGTGCCTCATTAAAATCGCTACCCAGTAAGAGGAAATCTCATCTGTTTCTACCAGGTTTTTTACAATACTATACACCTTTCCAAAAAACGCTCCTAGGCCGCCGCCATGTTGCTGATGCTGATGTGGCTGGTGCGACTCTCGCGCCCTCTATCAGCTAAAAATTTTCTGCCACTCTCTTGGACTGTGAAGACCCGCTCAGCGCGGTTCTCTACCTACGTTTCTGCGGCTTTGCATTCAACGTTTTCTCGCCCCTCTTAAAAGCTCCCACTTAATTTTTTTTTCTGCGTGCTGCGTACCCTTTTTGTGTTATCTTCCATTCTGAGAAATGAGGCTGATAAGTGCCTGCCATTCAAGTTTTTCTGCTTTACATTCACGGGAAACGAAGGAAGTGAAGGACGTCGAACGACCCTCGACGCGATTTTGCGAACATTGTTCTCCCCCTCTTACAAATAATCCGCGTAGAATCCTCAGTCCCCTCCAAAAATAGTTGTCCGGGTAGGGGTGGGAAACGGGTCAGTCGCGTTCGTTCCTTTGTCTTGGTGCGGTTGTGAAAAAAGGAAGTTCTCGCCAAAACAAAGTCATCTCGGATTCCGTCCGATCGCCAAGATGTGGCTGTCGTCGACTGTGACAGCGTTATTTGAGATCTTTCTCAAATAAATTATTTTCGGATAACGCTGCATTGTGTGGTACGTACGATATATTGTTCGAATGTTAACACTTCCTCAATTGTATGTCCGTGTCCTGTCCATCGGTAAAAATGTTATTTGTGAGCGTGAAAAATGCATGCCTTTCGGCCCTCTTCCGTAGCAATTTATTTTTGACAGCAAAGCTCTTTGTCGTTTCACATGCGGCGAATCCCGCGGCGCCGTCAAAACTTATCATAAGAAAAAAACACAAATAACTAAAACTATACATTCCAGTCGCATTTGTTCTGTCGCGCGCATACCCAACAAAAATAGTTTACAGTTTTTGTTTTGCTTTTTTTGTTTTTTCAAATGTGGTACAATGTTTTCTCAATGTCCTCGGGAAAATACATGTACCATGAAACACAAAATATATGCGGAAAAGACGAGAATTTAGCCACCGGCAGCGTTTGAAACTGCGCCTACGCAGGCTGCGCCTACGCAGGCTGCGCCTACGCAGGCTGCGCCTATTGAAATCACAGTCCACTCGGTTAGGGTTAGGAGGGTCGCCGGTGAGAGTCTAGCCTCAAACTCAGTGACTGGGCTCGAAAACAGTTTGTTGCCACTGGGGTTGAGTGTATTTTGGAAAGGTGTATTGGAAGAGGAGAACAGTAGCTATCCTACAGAGGCAAAACCTCAAATTGAAGTAGATTGCAACTCTCTCTACAGTGCAGAACATGAATCGCCAGTGTGTTACAACTTGCCTCGGCTAAAGCTAGGGTGCCTTCTTCTTAGGGCTGCGCCTCTCTTTGTAGTACCTGGTGCTGACAGCATGGAGTTGCAGAGGAAGTATAAGGATATAACGAGAAACAAAACGCCGCCATAGCACAGGTCAAAGCTAAGGGCTCGAGTGGGGGGGATGCTTTTCCACATGATCCAGAGCAAAAAAAAAAACTAAACTTCATGTCACCACCCTAAGGTAGACACATAAAGATTGAAAACCTTGCATTCACAATCTACTTTAGATAGTTATGTTTTTTTTTGGAAAATTTGCAAGTTTTCTATAATGTTTGGTGCTCTCTTTCTAGAAGAGTGGCTATGAAGAGGGGGGGGGGGAGGGTAATGAAAGTGAGCAGTTCCGTATTCTCACCTCTGGTATTCGGGCAGCGGCTTCACTATGCCCTCTGGAAAGAGATTAGAAACGACACAGTTGTGAACAGTGAACAGAATGGTATCACTTTCTACACTGCAAGGAGAGGGTGAATGAAAGTCACTGCTTACCATTGTATACTTTAAGGATAGCTTCACACACGAATTTGTACTGACTCTGAAAAAAAAAGTAGAAGAAAAAACAACTTTAAAATGACATTTAACACTTGGAGCATACAGAATGGTGACCATTCTAAACTCTGAAAACACTCAATGTCTTGAGGCTATTGCAAAACGTGACTAACAGGTGGGGTGCAGGGACCCAGCAAACAAAACCTTATTGTTGCAGTTGCAAGCAGGAGCAGCCTTCCCCCTCTTCTGAAAGAAGGCTCTGATAACTTTGTTGAAATTTCTTACAACCTCTGCATACCAGCACACTTTCTCCCATCCTGCCTATTTGAAAGGCAAGCACTGGAACCACCTAAATATCTGCGGACATGTTGAGGTGGCAACAATGAAATCGAACTTTTATGGTTATGGTAGGATTGTGCAAATATTTTAAATTTTCCAATAGTAGTTTTAAATAATACACCACTTGATAATCCCTTCGGGATTAATTGCGACATTCATACCCCTCGAACTGTTGATTGTGGCAAATTAGCCCCGTTGAGTGCACTTCTTACCGAGCACCAGTGCACTGCGGAGAAGCAACACCTGTGAAGATTGCTTTGCTTTGCACGCAGCCACGTGCCAAAGAGAAGCACACCTTCAAAAAGGGATGGTGCTCATGCGCGACTATAGTATTAAAAAAAAGAAAAAAAGGAAACCGGAAACTTTGTGAATGTTGACATCCACATTTTAGTAAACCTTGAAACATAAAACTGTGGCTATTATGTAACTGTATATGTTAGGCGAAGGTGTCCTGACAAAATGTGTTCATCATTATTTTTTTTTATTTGAAATTGAAGAAAGGATATTTGCATATAGAAAGAAGATTTATAAATCCCTTCCACCAGGTCCACCAGGCATGGCTGGGGATTTTGTATAGGTTTAATTTTATGTCAGGTCGTTCCTTTACTTGCTGCCCCAATGTAGGCAAAAGATTTTTTGAAGACACAGATCGTAAATATAGTTGCATTAGAACTAACTTAGTTCAGAGAATTGGACAGGTAAAAACTTGGGAACAACCTTCACCAGTGCGGCTGGATTTTTGTTTAGGCATGATGCAGCAGTAGTAAAAGGCTTGGAAAATGGCACAGCAATTATTCAATATTCAATTAAAAATTCTTCGGCTAAACCCCACTACTATTCGCTCCAAACTAAAACTCCACTATTCGCACATGCCTATTTTATGGGAGTATTACTTCTGTTTATACTTTCTCAGTGTATTAGCAATAAAACCCTCTGCATTCCTCCCACATCCCGCCCCTTTTTCGCTTTGGTCATCCTTGGTGTCTTCTTCGGGCAACTAGATTGCGTTTATAGCACCAAGGACCTCTTTCAAAGAGAACACTTTATATTTCCCTCAAAAGGATAAAGCAACCCGACTATGTCATGCCCCTATTTCATTGTGTCCTCACTGTCAGAAAGCATAAAGCCATTATTTTGCGCGGGTGAAAAGGCGAATTTGGGGGTTTTACGTGCCAAATGTGACAAAGATTCAAAATCATTTTTGGCCACCCAGGGTCCATCAGTTAAAATTGCCTTTATATGGGAAACGCCAACACAATAGAAGCTGAATTTAAAGCGCTGAACCTTCGGCGTCGCAAAAAAGATGACAAAATTGGACACGAGTACAGCAGCACAAACGCCGATGTAGCGCTCCTGCTTAGTGTGTGCTGCACATTGGTCTTCTCCTCTCCTTCAAGCGACACCGAAAACTTGGCATTACGGCCTTGCCATCTCATGGTGAATTCCACTGGTCGTTCTGGAGCGCGCCGCGAATGACCTTTCTGGAGTGCACCTGTTTCACTGGGTGATTGGGATCAAGACGGACGTGTTCCACACATTGTTTTGGATCAGTTCCCACTCCAGAGCTCGATCTGGATCTGAGAAAAGTGGCTCTACTGATTTCGGCGGCTTCGACCGGAAGCCAGCCTGGCCAGTACCTAGCGTGCACATGTGACTTCTTTTCTTGCTGGGCACCTCGCCAGGACCGTGGGAGAGGGATTCTCGGGAAGGTGAATGACGGCAAGGCATCTACCGATCCCGGAGGAGTGGTCAGGTTCCACTGCGGATCCGGAGGCGGAACGGATCAGTTCAAATCGCGTGGTTCATCTTGGATCCAGTCTGTGAATTCCGGCACGCTCCAAAACAACCAGTGGAATTTGCCACATGTGTTGACGATCTGCCGAACCTCCCATAAAAAATGAATACGCATCGGGAAGGTGGAAGAGGGTGCTCACAGGGGTCTGCACGAGCATGGCCCGCTGGTCACGCATGTCCCGGGTGAGGTCAAGCGGGTAGACCGGCTCGTGGGCCTCCACCAGGCACATGGCTGTTTCCATGAGTACCAGCACTCCGGTGCGGCCGATGCCCGCGCTGCAGTGCACCACCGTGGGCTCCACCATGCCGTCCCGGCTGCGCCGCACCCGCTGCACAAAGGTCAGGAAGTCCGACGCATCGTCGGGCACCCCGTGGTCCGGCCAGGCCAGGTACTGCATGTGAGAGATGTGGCGCTCCTCCCGGTTCTGAAACGAGCGCAAATGCAAGTGGCATTTAGGATGAGGTCTGAAACATGAACGGGAGAATGAGACAAAAACTCGTTTGTCATATCCGCCATTTCACCGTTCCTGGGTTCGTGATACATGGGTTCGACTGTACTCGTGCCCCGGATTTGCTCCGTCAAAATGTGAATTCGAGTAATTTCTCTCCAAAAACCAATCTTCTGGACTATTTCGAGTCGTAAGAAAGAGAGCCTTGGCACCAGAATGTATGGAAGTGTCACAAAAGTATTAGTGCAATTCCAGCCCAGAACAACTAGTTGAGATCATCTTGAGTCTGGAAGGCCGTTGTGTGCATTCGGGGTCCTTCGCGTTTGGGTAAGGTTTATTCATTTGTGCCCCGAACTATAGTCAGTGACAGGCTCCCGTCGATGCTCCGCCTCCAGCAGGTACTTGTGGCCTTTCGTCGGGCTCTGGCTGCATTTGCAGCAAAGTTTTATGGAAGGCAGAATGCTTGTGCTCGAGGTAGAGCATCTACTCGGTTGTTAACCTGTCATCGACTATAGACGCTTTGCAGCGGCTCTGCATGGGCGCCGCCATAGCCGACCTTCAGAGTTTGCTTCCTCTTATTACGTTTACTTTGCTTCATCATTAGTGCAGTGGGGCTGATCATGACCATTCTAGATTCTACTGTGTCTTTCTACCCAGCATTGCCCTTTGTGGAGGCTCATCAACGCCCACTTCAGTGGTTCGGCCTCTGGGTGAGACGAGAGAAGGTCGGCAATGGCGTCTGTAACCTGGCACGTGTGCGAAGCGTCTATGGGTCCATCGAGGTTTGATTACGCATAATTTTCTTCAGGAGCAGATCATTAATGCACGCTCACATGCCAAGGGGGCACCAAACGAAGATGCAGGCTTGTGCAGGTAGCTTTGACAGCATTGGAGAACTGCTGAAGAAATGCTAACCTTGACAAGGCGGCACAGGAAAGTTGACGCAGAGCATAGGCTCACGCCATAACCTGTCATGATCCGCTTCTTTTGGAAGAACCGGTGCCCCGTGTAAGAAACTCGGTTTCTTCGAGTTTCATACTCGGGAGCTCACGGTCAATGAAGCCAGCAGGACCTATAGTCAGTGACAGGTAAAGTGTTCAGGAGAAACTCCTCCAATCGCATTCCACTTAGCAGGGTGACCGCTGGAGCAGAAGTAGCCTCCTCTCCAACGTTTGCTCTGCTGAAATGCAAAGGATGGGAGGAGTTTCCCCTTAATTCTCAACTTGTAACCGACCATAGCATTATCACTCAAAGAAACGTTTGTGCTCGCTCCTGCCATGCTTACAGTGCTTCGTGCCAGAGAAGTCTCACTCTGGGGGTTTGGAAAATGGTGTCCCTGTAGAAGTGCCAGGCGTACGGACTACACCTTCCTACCTGTGTGTTGATGAGGGTGAACTCCCGGAAGGCGAAGGAGGGGGTCTCCTTCTGCCGCACGCACGACACCTGCAGGTGCCCGTAGGTGTCCGTCTCGTACAGGTCCGGCCAGTACTTGTGACACTTGATTCGACCCCGCTCCACCAGCGTTGTCAGCATCACCACCAGGGTGCACTGCTGTTCCCACACCATCTGAAAGGCGGGAGAGATCAGTTTCCCACATGTCACCACGGGCAACATATCTGACACAAGTCGCGCTCGTGATGAATCGAACTGGCTTTGAATGCTTGGAAGTTTCTCATGTGCCCTCCAGTGAGCTAGAGCTCCCAGGTGAGTCATTCAGCTGGCTGCTATGTCGGCTCTTTACGTGATATATGTTTTGTTTACAAACAGATGCCAGTTTCCTGAAAAGCTTGGTTCCCAATATCTGACAACTAAAAAGATTTAAATGTTAGTCTGAATTTAGTTGACTATTATCATATTTGGTTCAAACTACTTTTCCTCCATTCGCAAGTGTTTCCTCGATGTGAGCTTAAAAGGGCTAGCTAAAAGGAGATTTAAGAAAGCTTTCCAGTATGATATGTTAACCAGAAGAACACCATTATTGTACCAGAAGTTTATTAGCAGGTCAAGCTACCTATGGCAGCATGAACATTGAAAGTCCCAAGGCAGCGGCTACTGGCCTTTTTGTCTGAAATTTCTTTTTCATAGTACACTCCAACAAAAAAGTGTGTTTAAAGCAACAGAGCAACTTGCTATCTGAGTGACACAGCATCTTTTTTATACTCACCTCCCAGAAGTCTATCGTTGTGTTGGGCAATGGACCTTGTGTGGCAATATATCTATTTACAATGCCCGATGTAGGGATGTTCATCTGAAAAAACATGTAAAAAAAGAAATGCACAACATGGTAAAATTTCATTTTGCCTTGTGCAAAACAATGCAAAGTAAAAAAAGTGTCATCAACTTACATTTACATAGCTAGCATTAACATAATCTCCCGATGTCCCCTCCTGCAGAATGACCCTTGTGGCATCATCTGAGAACAGAAAGAAAGAAAAAAAAGTATGTTAGAAAGAGTCATTTTCAGTGAACCATTCAGTGTAGAGCACTCCATGGGCTCGGACCGGGTAGGACATATTTTCTCGGGCCCAACCCAGGCTTGGGCTTGAACAAAAAAAATTTCTGGGCCGTGGCTGGACAAACGTGTGCTGCAAATTCTAAACTGTTGGTAACAAAAGCTGTGCTCATTGATCGTTTAGGTTCAATGAAAACAAACAAGTGAAATGCAAAATCACTACGGCAACTTTAAAAAAAAAAAAAAAAAAAAAAAAGACGTTTTTTATCTGGAAAGTTATCACGTGGTGAGAAAGCAACGTATATATGATTCCACCAGCATAGTGGCAATGTGCAGTCAAGAAAACGAGGGCACTCCAGTCGCAGAGCATGGGTGTCTTTTTCCTCCGCTTCTCAAGCTAAAAAGAAAGGGGCCCTACTATGACACCAAAGATAAGCTAACTACCATAAATAATGTGATGCTTATACAGCCTTTTGAAGATGCACTAGCATGATTGTAAATTTGCGATTGTTTCTTCACAAAAACATGTAGAGGAAAAGTTCTCCGTGAAACGAATTAAACAAAAAGTCCAATATCTCTCCAAGCAATGCATAAATAAAATATTGCCCACTTTTCTTTCTTCTCAAGATCACTTAGGAAGCACATATTTCGCCCATATTCTCAAAAATACATTGTCTAAATCAAATCATTTAATGAATAAAAAAAAAAAAAAAAAAAGAAACTTCGTCCAAGTTTAGAACAAATTTAAATTAAATATGCTTGCTTTATGCTTAGAAAGTTTTTAGGTTAAAGCCTGCAAACTTTTTCGAGCTTGTCTATATAATCTGTTGGGCCCGGGCTGGGCTCAGGCATATAATTATAAAATTTTATCAGGCTTCGGCCAGGCTCAAGCTTCCGTGTAAAAATTCGGCCGGGCCCGGGCAGTGCCTCTTCCAGACTGGGAAGGGCCGGGCCTAGAAATTAAATATTCTGTCGGGCTCGGGCCAGGCCGGGGGCGTTCCTCTACCGGGCTGGGTCGGGCCGGGCCTAGAAATTCTGGCCCGTGCAGTGCTCCAATTCAGTGTACAGAAAGAAAATTATAAAAAAAAAAGTATGTTTGCAGAAGCCACTTGCAATTGCAGTCAGTCAGCGACAAATGTACTACTACGGTAAGTGCATTTTGTTCACCAAGTTATGAGCAGAGTAATGAAAGGCAAGCGAGCAAGCCTGCAGTTTTGAAGGCATCTCAACTGCGTAAGTACCTCAACAGTCAGAGCCAACGTTCTTAGATTTATCAGTTGACAAGCTTCACGGAAGAGCGGCATCTGAAAATGGTTCTACTCTCTTGTTGGCACGCGAGCAGGTTCGGGTGGACAGTGTCGCCCTCCACGGGCAATGGAGAACAACATTTTCTGAACGACGTTTTTTTTTGCCTCAAGTATTGTGCAAACATTATGTTTACCATAAAAACCACAATAAAATTACTTTCCACCGGAGGTAAAGCACAACTAACGTTCCATCAGTTACGCCGCGTCTGTCCATAGGACGGGTTGATAGTGTAGCAAGCGCCACTGAGCGGACATGCCGCAGAAAGGCGTCGGGCGTTTTCCGAAGCTTGTCAACTGACCTAGATCTATGAACGTTGGACAGAGCACTTGCAGACAACCCAAGATATGCCTTCAAGCCTGCAATTTTAAGAATGTTCTTCATGTGGTTCAAAAAGGGTCAGTGTAAATCATAGTTGCCCCCATGCACAACCAACTGAAGTTTTAATATGCCCAGTTAAGTGCCAAGGGCACCACATAGAAGTGCAACTCTTTATCTGCTATTAAAGGGAATGAAATATCACACACCCCTCCCTTTCTGATATCGTTCACAAGCAGGGTCACCATCTTATACTTGCAAATCCCAGTCATAGCAGAATTCAAGTTTAATTTGGCTTCTGCCTGAATTTAGGAATCGGGCATACACAGCAAAAAAATGTCCGTTCAGAGCTCACTGCATTTTATGATTGTAGCTTTTAGTAAGAAAAAAAAAAAAAAAAAAACCAAGACAAAAAAGAACCTCGGAGGGAAGAACTCATGGCCCTGCATGAGGCACCCTGCCACTCACATGGAGAGATGTCTCTGTATCTGTTTTTGGACAGGTTACAAGGCAGCCTGGCACACTTCATCGTCATGTCCGGCTTCTTGCGGTAGAGTTGCTGCAGAAAAGCCGCACCGGTTGAACATGTGAAACTCTACTCGAGAGATCATAGTTTTTTTCTCATAGATTATAATTTCATAGAATAATGTCACTATGGTTGGGTACAACTTACTGTGGCATTTTTCCAATAGAGGAAGACTGAGTGTGCTTAGATTCGATTGGTGCTTGAGCGCGCGCGCTCCCAATCCTTTGACTTTACTGCCACAAAAAGGTGTCCCCGTGTACAGGGTGTTTCCCCAAAAAGATTTACGTTTTTTTTCACCGCAAAAATAAACTATGCATTGCTCTTTGCTCATTCTCCACCCTAATGTAGCGCTAGAGTTCCAAACCACATGCCGAAGTTTCACAACTAAACAGTCATCATACTCAAAAGTTATAAGTGATTTTTTGAAAATTTCGATGGGAAAATGGCGCCCAACGGAGAGCCGGAAACAGGCGAAAATGGGCCCCATTTTCGCATTGAAATTTTCACCCTTATAACTTTAAAATAGGATATCAGTTTCTGGAGAAACTTTGGTATCTGGTTTGGACCTCTAGCGCTACCGTTGGGCAGAGAATGAGCGTTCGGCGATGCATGTTTCATTTTTGCGGTTAAAAAAACACTAAATATTTTTTTTGGGACACACTATATTTGTAGCACTTGAAGCTAGACCTAGAATGCAGCTCCAATTCTCATATAACTCTACAGACTACACCCAAAGACAACTTCATAGTTTTCAAAACATTCACCAACTAGCAAACTTTCTTGGACAGAGCAACGACTAGAGAAATGACACAGCAGTGTTGTACATGGGCCAATAGACAATGGGAGCTGTGAAATGGCCACAAATGAAAACAACTGGTACCGTGGCTTCTGACACAATGAAGAATTTGTTTAGTATCAATTACATTCCCAAAAATTCCAGGAGGAAATGCAAATAGCTGAAATCCTTTTAGTTGGGAGCAACCAGTTTGAGCTTCAAGATCAACATGCTTTGTACTAAAAACCTTGAGTACTTCAATCAGTTTTCAACACATCTTTGGCCCGAAACAGTTTTCAAACGTTAGGCTACTTTCTCAAGTCACCCAAATCTTTCTTATACATTCTGTACAGGTCATGTTGTATGCCTCCCATCAGCCCCATTCACTGCACTACGCGGCACAGCAACATGTTGCATAAAGCAGACATAAACTTAACGCCACCACGAGATGGTTTGTTTTTGGCACTTTTTGTGCTATTTGTTCGCCTACAACACTAACTATGTGGTGAAGTCTTGGCTCAAAAATCACAAGCCAGCCCGGGGAAAACATTGTAGCTACTGCGGTGACCAATTTCGTGCTGTATGGCTTTGAATAAGAAAGAAGACGACGAAGCATCACAAATAAACATGTTGTTAGACAAGAAGCTATCCGGAGCATTCCGAGTCAACAACAACCAACACAAATTTAGGTTTGAATAGCTGGCAATAGATGAATATTTGGGTAACCGAGTGGTGGCGTTAGGCTTGAGGAGCACTGTACAATATCCTCTCATTCGTACGGAAGTTGCGTGCATAAAACTGTCCAGCACTCAACACAAAAGTGGAAGAACAGATTTATTTTTTTTTTGGCCATTGATTTTACGATGTTGAGCCTGGTTGCCGATAGTGTACACCCGGTTGTTTGAGACAGAAGTGGAGGTTACCTCAAACTGGGCGATGGTGGCTCCGCTCTCCAGACCCTCGGCAAGGAGGAGCATAGACTCCGCGAGTGCTCCGCTCCGTGCTCCCCTGGCAGGCACCGTAGAGTCCGGAATGTACTGGAAGTCTGGCTCCTCTATCTGCTCGCCGGCATAAACTGAACAGAACAAACAAAGATTGCAAGCTCACACGTGTGTCACTGCAGCCCAACTTAAGTTGCTTTAGAACCAAATCTAGCTGGCTCATGCTTGTCATGTGAATTCATACCAAAATTACATTTAAAATTGAGCAATCAAAAAAAAAAAAAAAAGAAAGGGATCTTGTTAAAGATTTTGATTTGTTAAGATCATCAATCTACACAACGGGACCGAGCGGGACTGGGAAATCGCCGCCTACTGTGATTTGCCAGCAGTGCGGAGCTGGCCAACCGCAGCAGGCGGAAATGTACAGGTCCCTTAATCCCGCTTGATCCTGCCATGTAAAGTAGGGCCCCAGGTGTCATTTACTAATTCCCGCCTGCCGGCGTAGCCATACACTTCATCTCCAGAGCTTTGTGCAGCATTGTGAAAGGGACGGGGACAAACGCGGGTTTTAAGAAAGCGCTTGCCGCGCTTAAATGCTTACGAAAACCATGTCTTTTTAAAAAAACGAAACTCTCTCACCTCTGTCTTTCAGAATGCTGCACGCAACTTTGATGGATTACAGTAAGAGCAATCCCCACAACTCCAATTCTCAAACCTCGAAAACTTAGCAACGCAACTGCGGACGAGACGCCTTGACCGACGAGACATGAAGCAGTTGTGGAATTTGAGGGCTGCGAAACTTCTCAACACATCACTCGTGCAAACTTAAACTACAAGCTTAAAAACAAGACAAAAAAAAAAAAATAAAATGTGAATTTACGGAGAATTTACAAAAACAGAGCTTTCACATTTGACTGGCGCGAGCCGCTCGAATACGGCCGCGCGACAGCAGTGAGTGAGTCTGAGCTGCCTAGACATTTTCATCCATGTCAAAGGTGCGCAGAGAACCTCCCTTCAATCAGGAAACCGGTTCCTTTCCGAAAACGAGGCGCGCGCGGGTCCGTGCGCCGCTTTTCGGTTGCCAAGCAAATTTTAAAGAAAGTCAAACGAAACAAACGGTTGCATAATTGAGAGAATCACGGTAACCCACTTCGACAAAAAGGGGGCGAGCGAGTGAGCCGAAAGAGGAGGAAGCCGGAAGCGACCGTAAAGCGCGCTACCCCGCACACACACGAGCGATGCGACAGAGCCAAACGCCAAGGCCGCGCCTCTACGCCGCGACAAATCGCAAGCGCAGCGCACGTTCGACGGAGGTCAACAACAACACTGACATCGCGAAGACATCCGATCTTTTATAATTCGGCTGTACTAACTGTCGATTGCGAACTTCACCCATCTTTCTTTTAATATTTCGCTGCAAAATCTGCCCCTTAGAACTATGTAAATCGTGGTTTTCGTTTTATTTAAATAAGTTCCGTTGCGTCGCGAGGTGCTTTTTAATATTCGCGGAGCGGCTATACCCCAAAAGATCGTTCCAGATCACCAGTCCTCCAAATCTTAGGGAGGCCGCTGACACCAACGACAAACCCAGACAAGCGAGGGCCCGATCGTTTCTGCCTGTACTCACCTTGGGGCTTGACCGTGAGCACGAGTTCCCCGTTGTCCTTGGGCGCCCGGATGAGCTTGACCACCTGGGAAAGCCAGAGTGCCACGCCGGGCCTCAGTCGCACGTACAGCACGCACAGCCAGCGGGGCAGGCAGCAATCCGCCGCCGCCGAACACACTTCGCAGGCCGTGCCGCCGCCGCCGCGGCCGCCCGTCGCCCGACGACCCCAAGCCGCCAGCACCGAAGCACCCACGCGACCGCAGTTCATTTTTTCCCCTTCTGTCGTTTTCTTTTACTGCAGGGAAGCCTCCAAACGCCGTAATCCAGACGCCATGGTCCTAGACACAGGGCCGCGGCACCGTCGACAACGCGCTACCTCAGGTAAACAAATGCGCCGCACCGCCCACTCGGACTGAGGTCGCTGTTGTGGTGGTCCGTTGCGAAGCGGCGAGCCCTCGCGGGTGGCTCGCTCCGCGACGCAGATCAGAGACGCGGACGACACTGACCGCGGCGAAAGCAAGCGGGGGGACTTTCGACGCCCCCCGCGTCCCTATTTTGTCCCCTCCCGTTAATCGGGGAAAAGAGGAATCGGCGGGAAAACGGCGGACGACGCGCGGCGGCAGAAAACCAGGAAGAGAGCTTGGACGGGCGCAGCTGATGACCGCGATGGAGTGCGACGGGAAGGTAGGGAGAGGAGGGAGGGAGGGCTCCTCGAGAAGGCAAAGCAGACGACAGACGGTCGCCCATGGTAACGCAAAGCGCAGCTCGAAACGGGAGGGAATAACAGCGGAGCTGAGAAGCCTGCTAGGTGCATCGCAGCGGGGGCACCGAGGGAAATGGGAGACCTGCAACGGTGCTTGCCGCTCAATTCAAACGGACTTTCTCACGAGTCCACTCCTCAGAAAGTTACGCAGCTCGTTCTTGACGTAGGAAACGCGGTGTTCCGAGGTTAGCAAATGAAATCTGGCATTACACACGACAAATCTCGGAATTCGTTCCTGTCTGTTTTCGGACGAATACTTTGATACGCGTTGACATGCGTAACTCACAGTAAACACATTGGATAGGTTTACGTTTACGCTCTTCTGGATCGACCCGTCTGGGAGTGTCAATGTATTACAAAAATAAACTCGCTTGCTTTCTCACCATTACTTCTTTTATTTTTATTTCAAAATTTTTCTTTTGTTGTTGTAACGTCGTCTCTTAACATGGTAATCGCAAAATGGGAATCAACGTGATCAAAACCACCACGCTCAAGCGCAAAAAAAAAAAAGAAAAAAAAAAAAGAAAAAAGAAAAACCAAGATGAGCTTGATTTATTTGCGAGCAATGCCAGCTTTCGCTGTGGGATGGTGCCCTACCGACTGCAGCGCCGCCACAAACACTAACGGTTTTCTTTATCCCAACAACCACAAACCTCGGAGCGCTCGATTTCGCTAGCCCAGACGGGCCCAGGTTACCTCGAGAGGCGCCGCGGTCGCCTAGACGCCAGGGCGCCGCGAAGCTCGGCCGCGGCATTGAGAATCGATGCCGAAGGACGCAATCGATAGGAGGTCAGGTGATTCACCTGGCCGCACGCACTGCCGTGTTTGGCGACTCGGGAAGCGCGTGCTTCCCACGTCGTCGCCGGTCAACGGACACCGAGCACGGTCATTGTCGCTGTTGAGTCGGAGGAGTGAAATAGCAGGTGCAGTGACCGCCACGAGTGTGCGGTCTCTGTTCAACGACACTGGTTATAAAACAAAAGAGAACATGGTTTCCATGGTTGCTTGTAACTAAACCTCAAAAGAAAAAAGAAAAAAAAAAAAAAAAAACGATAGTCGCACGTGCAGAGTAATTTGATTAAAGTTGGAAAAAGACGGTTCGGGCATATTTGGATGTCAACATCTCTGAAGTGACTAAAATTAGGAATTTAACTGAGTTGACACAAAGGATACGAATAATCTGCTTTAATCAACGAATGAGAACTATCTAAGAGGTATCCCCGAGACAAAGTCAAGCGTCCATTTACGGGGTCAAGATAAAAGCATCTTATGGATGTCATTCAAAGAGGAAAATGAGTTCGACACACCAGTACATCGTGGAAATTTGTAGTGTCGTTGTTTCTTAGTTGTTTTCTTTTTTTCTGCCGCTCCATAGGCATGCGACTTTCCAAACTGTAACGCCACAATTAATATTGTTAAAAGAGCCTCCCAAACGCGGAGTCTTACGCGATTTCTCTAGCAAGACTCCGCGCTTTTCTGGGCGGGCATTCTCTTGCGAGGCCTTACAAGAGGCCATCCACCAAGAAAAGCTGGAGACACTCCACCAGGCCACATTCCAGTCATACAAGAGGATGTTCTCGGATAGCGTGTGAGACCATGCGAGAGGATGCCCCTGCGTCGAGGAAAAAGCTGGAAACACTGCCAGGCTATACAAAAGGATGGCCATCAGATACCATGTAGGACCCTACGAGGGAATGCCCATTGAGACAAGCTGGAGACACTGCCAGGCCATACACCTGTCCTACAAGAGGATGCCCAGTAGATAAGGGCCTCGCACAAGGATGTCCATCGGATAGCTGTAGAGCCCTCCAAGAGGATGTTCACCGAGACAAGCTGGAGACAGTTAGCCAGGCCAAGCGTCGACCACATCGTCCATCACATATTCTACAAGAGGGTGTCCGCCAGACCAAGCATCAGTCGTACCGGATGCTGTCCACAATAAAAATCCGTCCGATCTCTACAAGATCGGACGGAAGAGATACCATTATATCTCTACAAGAAATCTAATTTGTACAGCCTTCTCCCGAAGAATATTACGCCCTGGTGCGTTGAAACCGTACGAGCGACCGCGGGCCTGCCCGTGCGTCAAGCCTTGCCAGAGAAGTCGTCTCCTCACCTGGTCGTGAGAGAGTCCCGCGACGTCCTTGCCGTTGATGAGGAGCACCTGATCACCCTCGTTGAGCCTGGGCAGGCAGGTGTCCGCCGGCGTGTTGGGCACAACCCGAGACACCAGGATGGGAAGGCTCTGGTCGGCGCCGCCCTTCACGTTGAAGCCGAACCGACCCTCGGCGTCCGCCCGCATCCTCACCCGCACCTGACCCCCACCGCCCGAGCAGGGCTCGTCCAAGGCCGGCCCCGCCGAACCGTTAGCCTGTACGAGGGACAGAACAACAGAGGATGCGCTCGTCAGTACACCATCAACTTCTCCAGCAGGACGGAAGATTCCAGACGGCACACACACACACACATGTCAAAGTCAAATAAAATCGGGTGGTTTTACGTGCCAGGCCAACGAAGGGCATCTGGCACATTTCAGCGAAGGATTGACGATTAATATCGACCATCTGGAGAGCTTTTCACGTACAACCGAAATTTCGGCTACATGGCGGGCACCTTTTTCGTCAGGCTGCGAACACTTCGGCTGGGATTCGAGCTCGCCAACTGGGAATACGTATGTCGGCGTTTTGCCCCGGAGCCCCCGAGGCGGCTGGCACACAAAGACGTCGAAACATTTGTCGATGAAATCATTGACCACGTTGAAAATTAAACGTTACGTCCCTTTGACGTAAAAAATAAAAATAAAAGTCAATATAAAGTTGGCATAACGTGTCATGTAACGTTCGTAAAATGTCAAGTATACGCCTGAATTATATCGACGTTACATCGACGTTTCAGAAAAGCATAAATATCACTTCACGTCCTAAAAGGGAAATCCGTATACAACGTCAAGTTCACGCTCCATTCTTATGCCTGGCCCCACGTATATAAGACACTACAAAACGTCTGAAATGGACATTGCGCTCACTGGAGACATTTTACTGGAAACGCATAACTATGAGCATATACGCAGGGGGAAACCGGCGGATCTTCGACCACGCCGAAAGCTAGGACAAAAACAAGCAACGGGTAGAGAGGGTGGTATGAGATCATTGGTGCAACACCCTGCACGATATGTGTACGTATGCAGCCTCGCGTTAATCGGCGTTACTGATATATATATATATATATATATATATATATATATATATATATATATATATATATATATTAACTCAGTATTCTCTTATGAAAAGTTGGGAGTTTTATTGTAGCCTCGCATTCAGCTATCCGCTCTTCATTGTGCTTGGAGACTACAGGGCGGGATCGGTACACTCGCGAGTGCCAAGGGCGACATCGAAGATTGAAACGGGCCAACATATAGGGACAATCAATTGCTTCTAACCGGACCTCAACTTTCAGGTGCGATTCACCTACATCCAATGTCTGTGAGAACATACCAGAGCCTGTTTGTAAAAGAGGACGAAGTGTTCGCGAACCCAACAAACTATAGGCAGCCACCTGGAAACTTGCAGAACCACGCCATCTCCGCACAACGAGCGCCGATATTCTGGGCTGCGTTCAACGACTCTGCCAGGGAAACATGTATACAATCGCCGTACGAACCTGGCCGTCGAGTGGCAGAATACGGCAGTCATCTCAAGATGTCCCGAACCGTCCATAAATTTCAATCGACGTTCCTTTGCATCCGTAAAACTATCGGAAGTCGTAGATGTCCTTTAGACGCCATACCCATATTATGTACGCAGGCTGGATGCTGGGCGCGCTGTGGAACGCACACAGCTTCCCACGCCGCGTACGAGAAAGAACACGCACGCGTTCAACGCACAGAAACGTTCTCCGTTTCCTCCACCACACTGGCACAAAATATGAAAGAAAAAAAGACTTTCCACTTCATTTTCTACAAAAGAAATACATAAGCGCACAGCGTACATGCAGATTCCAGCTACCAGAAGCCATATATACCACCAAGGGCAACGACGTCCCTTTTATTTATCTATAATACACAACGTTGTTAAAGAAGAAAAAAAAAAAAAAAAAAAAGGAAAGCGCAGGCTTGCAGTTAACAACAACGCAAGAAAGTAGCGAGCAGCAAGGCATTCATCGGAGCACTAGATATCACCCTCGGCATATTTTTACAGCGAACCAACCGGCGGCCCCTTCATTCATCCATTCGCGGAACCCACAGTAGGAGAGCGGCGGGGCAGCATCGGAGGCGACGGCCGGCTGAGGGCACAAAGACCAGGGCAACAACCAAATGCGAAAACCGTTGTTCCCTCCAAGAAAAACGGAAAGGATAGTTTTTCTTTCCTTCTTTTTCACGAATTGTCATAAGCCCCCTTATTCGACCGAAGCGTTTCTTGACAAGCGAGCGACACCGCGCCCACACCAGAGGTGGACGGGTTGCACGCAGATTCCACGAGCGACTGGAGGAAGGGGAAAAAACTGACGAATCGAAAGGCCGGGCGCGTCTTCCCAGATGGCTTGTCCTCGGAAATTTTGTATACGTTTTTCTTCGCGCAGACAGCGACCGAACAGCCGAGCGTGAGGATGGAATCCGACACCCGACTAAGCGCAAGCTCCGTGACAGCCCTTCTAGTATACTACCGATGACCTCGAGCTTCTCCGCTCAATTACCGCTCGAAATCACGCAAAGAAAGGAAACATGAAGACCTCAAACACTCCACTGTAGGCTAGAGCATTGAGCGAGAAAAAAGAAAAACCAAACAATTGCCCGTTTCATTTTTATGCCCCAAGGCAGTTCCTCTGAGACGTCGCGGTGTAACGATCGTCACGTCCGACCATGGCGTCGTGGAGGCTACATCCCAGGCGCCAGTGGGCACAAAAACGCCTAACGCGACAAATTCTAAGCATTTAAAACATTTCACACGATCCGTGCAGCGCTATACTAAAAACACATCTCCACTAAACCAACGAGCATTTGCGTAAGGAGGACACTTTCTAAAATCATGCGCTCGCACACGTACCTCGCACAACGGCCAGCGGAGACCTTCCCTTCGTAACACCGCTTGCCCAAGATGATATTCCAGACACCGAATGAACGCTAAAACGGGAAAACGATTCGACTCATCGGCTCTTCCGCCGAGCCAACACGCGGAACCGCAGACGCGCCTGTAGGGCATTCCAGTCGATCGCGGACTTGGCCGATTGCCGCCCTCGCGTCGCATCTTGCCAACGACGACGCGCGACTACATCCGCGTCCCCCGGGTGTGAGACAGCACCGCCGTACACGCGTCAGAAGGCGGCCGCAACGTCAACGGGGCACCCCCCCACGCCTGGGCAGACCGCGCCGGAAACGGGGGAGATATTGCGCGTCGTTCAAGGTGGTTGCCGCCAAAGCCAGACTTTCTTGCGCGGCGCACGGGCAAGCCTCCCCCTGGCAGAAAGGGGACGCTCGGACCACATCAGAGGCAGGCGTTGGAGGTACTCTAGGTCCGCACACGTATCAATTGTCATCACCGTGAATCATCGACGCCTTGTTCGTCGTTTGAGCTCTCACGGAAACCGTGCGCTACAGCCAAAGCTCAGCCAAAGCTACAGGGGAGAGCGCATCCCAACCTGTTCAAGAGGAGCAACAGGAGACAAAGGCTAGGGACTCTTCCTTTCCCTCCTCCTGAAAAGGTTAAGAAACGCTCTCTCCCCTGTGGCTTTGGCTGCATTGCACGGTTTTATTGAGACGGGGTATATAGTCGGCAAAGGTAACCCCTTTCCAGGCTTGAAGAGGCCTTTACAGTTTAGTTAGCGCGTCTAAACAACACTAAAGCTTTGCCGTTTTCCGTGTTTCCGAATAAAAAATCAGAAAAAAAAAATTACTTGCCTGTCAATTTTTTAATTCGGATTTATCTGCAAAACTCAAAATTTCGAAATCATAACAAAATAAAAAGCAGAAAGAAAGAAAGTCTGTTTTCGAGACAAACTTTATAAGAGCACCAGGTCAGTGGTCCTGAGAAGATGCAACTGTCCAGCGGTCACGCTAGACAGCGTGAACGCTGTCCGCGTCTTACGCGTTTTTGTGTGTCCCTTTTCTTCTTTTGCGTTCGCATACCAAAATGTTTCACCAACACGCTCTCCAAATTTCACCTATGGGTTTATTTTGTTTTTGAATTTTCAGAAATCTGGAACACAGTAAAATAAACTTCGAAGTTCAGAGAATTGGCAGTCTCACAAAAATAAACTCCGAAAAATCGAGATTTTTCAGCGAATAAATAAATTCCGAAAGACACCCCCCGAAATTCGGGAGAAACAAACTCCGAAAACACGAAACCCTACATGTGTTGATGTGGTAGAAAAATTACTTTGGTTCTTTACGATTACCTCCCTACCAGGCTCTTTTACCCCGGATAGGCCAAAGTGGCATCCTCTTCCAAAATAAACTTTAATTCATTCGTTCCTTTTTACTATTCGGATTTCTCCTAGAGAGCTTCATTTTATAAATTCCAGATTGTGACACAAAAACATGTATAGCTTGCCTTAAATTTTGAGCCGTGTATTTAAAAATCCCGAAGAGCCGAACTTCCAAGGGATCGCGAAAGGGTCAAGTTTTCGTCGCCAACACTTACCTACTCGGAGGTAATATTGAAATTGCGTCGGTGTAACACCTATAAAGTCCGGACATATATCAAGTGACCGTCTGTCCATAACACACGTATCACGTTGTGGCGAGAAAACACGAAACAACGCCCCATAACCCTTAAACGGCGCTTTTTACCTCAAAACGAAACAGAGTATATCGTGCCACAAATTCGAGTACAATGGAATTTCTCGAATAATAATAATAAAAAAATATATATACAATAGCCTTTTTTTTTTCTTTCTTGAAAGTCACTCGCTTCGTGGCCTAGCGCTACGCAAAGGCACGAATTAAACGATGAAAAATAGAAATCTATAGAAAATAAAATTACGACCGACCACACAAAGTGTGGTGAGATTGACAGCGGTTGCTGTTGAGTTGTTGATAAATGTGTTTTCAGATACCTGCTTTTAGTCAATGTGGTTTTATGACATTCGTTTTAGGAGACTCGCTTTTAGCTGAACAGTTGTAGCAGATGTGTTTCAGGAAACGTGAGAAAGAGGGATCAATAACCCGATAGCGCGTCTTGCCATAGATGACGCGGTTGTGCGCGGAGAAAATGAGAGCGCGGCGGTTGGTCCCTCGATACTGCTTTTTACGAGGAACGGCAACCAAGAAAAATGACAAAGCACATTCCGCTAGGAAAATATGGCGTCATTCAGTTCAGCTGTGCGCCCCTTATTCGCTTACTAAAACCTGCACCGTCACGCAGTCTACGCTTC